AACTAGACACGAGATCAATTGGAAAGCAACAGAAAGGAAAGCTCAATACGGTGAGAACACAAGGAAGCGGAAGATTAGGGAGACCATTGACATCCTTGGGGATACAAATCTAACGAACATGAGATTGGAGGAAGGTAGAGTTAGCGATAACTTTGCCTACTGCCTACATGTGTTTAATCAAGGAGACGACCAGTGTAGGGAAGGCCTGATATCTGCAAGCATAGTAATCATAGCTTAATCGCTCTGTTCAGTGAGGCGGCAGTGTATGTGCTTCTAGGGCCTTGAAAAATAGCGCCACGAGTGAAATGCACACCGGGACTGGAACCAAGTGAAATCGGTCAACCAGAAAGATAAGGAACGGATCTACAGACAATGAAAGGATCCGGATTGGAGGCCCAAGTCGGATTAGGCCATCGAAATAGAGGCTTCGGGGTAAATAGCAGGTGTGATGAGGCCACACTCGGTTTGCCACAAAAGGGCACACATTTTGACGATTGGAATATAAAACAAGTGAAAAGTTGTGATACGGTGGCAGTGGGATAAGAGGGTAAAGAGTAGATAGATAGACAATGACAGAAAGAGGAGTGATATTGTAACCGTTTCTAGCAGAATGGTTGTCGAGGGATTGACTTCACTTGTCTCTTTGACGAGTTCGTATGTTGGTGCGGAGAATGGCAGGGCTCACTGATGATGCCGACTACAATGCCGACGAAACGTTAAAGAATGTATCAAGTCCATTGTCAGATGCTGGGAATCAAGACACCTACTATGGCAGACGACTTCGGATTAAGTACATTCTACATAGTCTCCCTGAGCAAAAGACACAAGTAATTTTTACTTTTCTTCTTACCGGTATTCCTTACATTCAATGTATTTTATATTCGGTTTATTTCGATGGCTTCACTTATTTTATGTTTAGCAAAACGAGGAGTTTGAGACCATTCAATCTCGTGTCCTGTTTCTGGCCTGTGCTCAGCAAGCTCGGATTTTGAAACCCAACAGCCTTTGCAGGCGTTTTTGTGCTCAGCCACTCTTTGTCGAATGGGACGACAAGTTTCTCCAACATAAAAGCGACCACATGAACACATTATTTTGTAGCAACCTGATTTGGATAATTTGTCAACTTTATCTCTAAAAGTGAGCACAACTGAAGAAAGTGTCGTAGTTTCCCTGAGGACCGTTCTTATTCCCTAGTTTCTTACTTGTTCACCTATTCTTTTAGAGAGAAAGTCAACTAAATATTACAGTCAATCTGGTTGATTAAAAACTAAGAATTATCTAATCCGCACTATTTAGTTGATAATGGAAATGGAGGTCAACAATAATTAACCCTTTTTATATGTATTAGTGATCAGAGTAGGTGAGAAGTTAAGCAGGGATGTCTATAGATAGCCAACACATGCTGGTTTTATACTTAACTTCTTCTCCAATCATAGCTTTAAAACATAAATTAGAGTTTTAAAGAGGTTGTTTGACCTTGTTTTCGCAACATGGTCATATTGGTAGGAAGACTTAAAGGAACGCACCTAGTCCGGAGTCTATTGTCTGCATGATCATTTCCAAAGTTGAACCGTGGACGTGGTACATTCCCAAACGTTTCGCCGGCATCGCGTTGGCATCGTCAGTGAGTATCGCTATCCTTAGCGCCATACAACAACTCGTCAAAGAGACTAGTGAAGCCGATCCTTTGACCAGACTTCTGCTAAACAATTGTGGTATCTCCTCTTTTTCCCTGGGTTATTCGCATTTCCGGTTGCATCCTATCATGCCTTCACTATTACAAATTTTACCGTGTTTATTTCGATAGTGTGGTGTGCTCCTTTGAGCGAAATGACACCTTCACACTCTAACTGTCGTTCCCACCCCACCACCTTCATCCGTGTGCAGGGAATGTTGATCAGAGTCTGCTTTATTATTATGCAGTCCTCTTCTCTAGTCTTATTTCAGTCTCTCTTTTGCTCCGTGAAATCCGTCTGCTCTACCCCTTGTTCACCTATTTCACTCAACTCCTGTCACGACATCTGTCCTACTTGAAGCGATATTCACCCTCATCTGCGTCTGGGTGACTCATTCGAGGCTCAAACCTCTGAGTGTCATGGTCACCCCTTTGCTACATGGACCAGGTCTCTGGTACAACCGACCTACCGTCAGCCAACTAGCTCCGGTTCCCACCGTGTCTATCCTGTTTCTATCCCTAATACCAAGTCTATGACTTGCTATGCCCTAGTCTCTTGTGT